TTCTATCAGTAGTCATAACCAATTGCTCATACTTGCTATGACACATTGTAGGTTAGCTCATTCTTTCAACAGCTCATTCAGCTCTAATTTTACTATGCAGAGTACATTATCATAGTTTTATTTTCCTCAGAGGAAATTCCCAATATGTAAGTTGAAATAGCAAAGCTAGTGAGGAAGGCAATGGTGTAAAACCACAGTGGAAATCTGACTCATTGTGAAACTTCAAAAATTGCCAATGTGCCACTAAAAATAATTAGTGATCTCTAATGTTTTGCATGATTTCTTCTTGGATGTTCAGTGATTGTGAAAGATACTGGGGATAATTCATCATTCCTTAAACTCCTGGGTTTGCAGTGAGAAAATGGGACCTGGTATGTCATTCTGTGGCTGGTGTGTAGAATAACCATACTTGCAGTAATTTCTTATTCTTCTCTCTCTGCACCAATAAAAATTAAAGAGCTTTATCTAGGCCATATGTGCTTATAAGGACATCAGTTTTGTACTTCTATGTTTTGAATTAAAAATCACCAGTGAGTAGTTCTAATGTATTATCCTAGTAATTAAATACGAATAGAGAAGTTGATGTCGAATTTAACAATGGTCATTGGAGTGACTGGGTAGAGTCTGATAAAACAGTAATCTGCTTAATGTGCATGTAGACCTTCAAGTTAATCAAACCAACATGTGATAGTCTATATGAGTCATCCCATACTGTTTAGAAGACCAGCAGCAAATTATCATCTGTTATGAATTGGTTTCCTTAAGATGCTGTTCACCATTTCGGTAACATACACCCAGTCTATCAATATTTGTCTTTAGTTCAGTAGAAATATGTGTCTCATGCAAAGGAATGAGTGGCAACATTTCTCAGGGTGAATATCATATGATCGTTCACCATTTGTCTCAGAGCTACACGACATGTTTTAATTAAAGACCAGGTACAGTTTAAGAAGTCCCTTGACTCCTGATCCAGAGCTGTCAGGGAGCCCAAATGACCTCTTCTCAATGAACTGCAAAGATAGGAAACATTCTAAACTACAGTGCAAGTAGTGTTCTGTTCATCTCAGCTTCAGGAATAATTTTCACTTGGTTACTATTCCATGCCATACCTTATCAGAAGGAAGGCAGGAAGGAAAGGGAACAACCTTATCTATGATTCTTTCATCCAGCCACTTTGTCTTATATTTTTGTGACACATGCTTGTGGTAAGCTGGGTGACACACTTAGTCTCAGTTCCTATAAATGCGAAGTGGAAGTTGTAGCTGTAAGTTTAATGATCTAGAGTAGAGGTTTCCAAACATTTTTGGGAAAGAAACCTCATAACATCATTAAAAAGTCCTTGATCATATTGAAGATATTACTTTGGATATTTTTTTCATTTAGAAATGATAGCTATGTAAAGTTTTCTAGTACATTCTGATCATTATAAAAATATACAGAAACATTAATGTTAAAATGAATCAGATAAGAATAAATGCATGTAGACACTTTAATATTTTTCCACGTATTTCAGTGGGTCATTCTGCACAGGGGTATGTGCCCCTTATGTTCAAGGCCACCATGTGAGATTCAAGTGCATTAGAGGAATGCTCAAGGAAGAGTGAATCACCCTTCCCTTTTCTCAACCCTGAGTGAGCATGCGTCCTCTGTCACAAAAACAAAGTCCTCCACCATGACAGTAACTTTTGAATATTCATTGGTATGTTGCATTTTAATGTATTTTGCTTTGCAATCATAAAGGATGACTTATTGTGTTGGAGACAGAGCACATTTACAAGAAAATGTTAGCCGTCATCACAGAGAAAGGAAGTAATGGATTTTATTTTAGTGCATATAAATTGAGATCATGGACATATGATCAAAGATAAATTTCCTATACTGGGAAAGAAAAGGGAAGAACTAAAATTTAATGACTGCATACCATGTCCAAGGCATGATTCTAGCAGGTTTAAGTATCCTTAAAAAATTACAGCTGTAGAAACGGAGCTCAAAGTCCTCCTTTACACAGTGTTAGTTCATAGCACTATTATTGTGTTTCTCATTTAGTCATTAAAATTACCCAGATAACTCATGTCATTCTTTTAAGGGTTTACTGATAAGTCACCTTAAAATCAGAGAGTGTTAATGAGTTGTCTGTGGTCATCCCACAGCAAAAGGAAAAACAACTCTTCCTATTCCGTAATTAATTTTCATGTTTTTTCCCCCCTAGGCGAAGGTGTGTGTTTATTTATACCTATCACTGTGTCTTTGCTCATGTTGAAGTCCTGCCTGGGAGAGAAGGGGCTCTCTTGACAAAACCTCTTGGTTTTGTCACATCATACAGACAATAATGATAGACTTTTTTTTTTTTAAAGCATCTACAGGATGGCTTATACATCCTTCACTCTTCTCTGTTCTGGTTCTGTTGGTGAGATCACAAAGTGGGCATTGTAGTTCCATGCCAATGCCCAAGAGCATGCTTTGAAACTAACTACCTTTCTGCTTCCATTTATGGGTGACTGTGGGCTTGTAATGATTTTACTTGCAAAATCCTCTAGAACAAATTTGTTCTAATACCATGTTTGCAACCTGAATCAGTCATCTCTTGCTGTGTATAATTACTCCCCAAACTTAGCAGCTTCAAAAACAATGCATTTATTGTCTCACAGATTTCATAGTTTAATATTTGTGGCTAGCACTGTGGTTCTGCTATAGGGTATTTTAGACTGTAGCCAAGACATCTGTTAGGCTGCTGTCGTCTGAAGGCTTGATTGGGGCTGGAGCATCCTTTTCCAAGGTGGCCCACTCCTCCTAGAGCATCTTCACACACAGGGGCCACTTTCCTTAAGAAGAGGAGGATCAGCCCTTTAGACCTAGTCTCAGAAGTCACACAGTGTTCTCTCTTCTGCATTCTGGGAGTGAGTCACTAGCCTCAGGCACACGAAAGGGGAGTGGAGTTAGACCCTACCTTTGGAAAGCAGGATTCTCAAACTATCATATAATGTATCTGACAAGATTCTGATTATAGAAACTTTGAAATGTTTTATGTAAGCTGGAAAGAACTGGAAAAGTTCTGATGTTTCACCCTGTTTGTGAGCTACCAAGCTGGTTTGCCATCATTTCATAGATGCTGACAGAAGACGCGAGTACTCTAGGTCAAACCCAAAAAGCACTGGGTGACCTCAACAGTAGCACTAGGTGCGGAGGATCAGCAATTCTGGTTCTCTTACTCCCCACGCCATGGGAGTGACTCAGAGGGTCAGGAGATATTTGCTGTGGATGGTATTTCAGGAAACAACATGAACTTGGGGTAAGGGATACAGCCCTTCATAAGGGAAGTTTAGCATGCCTGCCCTTTGCTCTGAAGGACACATTATCTCTGTCTTCCAAGGTTCATTACTTAAACATTTTTGGAAAAACAGTAGAGAACAAAGACTCATTACCCTACTCATATGGCGTGTAGCAATGAGAGACTCAGGGAGAATTCTCTTCAATATAAAGTATGCCCTTTCTCTAAAAGAGTTTATGATAAAAATTGGCTCATTAGTTGGGTCCTGCTGAGTAATGAAAACAATAAGGAGATTAGAGAGAGATTTATTTTAAAGATTTGATTCATGGAATTGTGAAGGTTAAGTGAGACATAATCTGATGAGGGACATGGTTGGACTAGAGACTCAGCAAAGAGTCACACTTCACAAATTAGTTTGGAGCAAAAGAAGGAAGAACCCTTGTTGTGGATGAAGCTCAAACATCATCTCTGGGACTTACTGCTTGCTTGGGGAAGATCTATTCTATTTAAGTCTTTTATTCTATTTAAGTCTTCCACTGATTAAGTGAGACCCACCCACATTATGGAGGATGATATGCTTTATTCAAAGCTCACCAATTTATACATAAATCTCACTGAAAAGCACCATTACAGAAACATGCACCTAAGTTAATACTTACACAAGGAAAGTATTAACTTACCAACAAACATGTTTCATTGTGTATCTGAGCCCCGTAGCCCAGTCAAGTTGGCACTGTCAATTTCTTTAATTGTAAGAATGGAAAATATTATTTATTGAACCCATGAGGGCTCATCATTTGAAGATATTTCTAAATTAAAGGGAGGCAATTTTTATTTCCAATGCAGTATTTCAAATTCGTATTTCATAATTTACAAAAGCATGCTAGTTTGGTTATCCCAGGGAAAACAGATTAAAGGATTCATAAGTTGGAAGAGACGTTAGAGACCTTGTGATTACATCATCAATATCATGCTGTAACTTTCTAAAAATTGTTCAAATAGCTGCCTGTAAAGTTGAGTCTGCCAAACCAGATCCTGGCTCCCAGGTCAGTACTATATCTTGCCCAAGAAAATTTGAACTGCTGTTCATGGAACCCTGGGTCTAGAAGTTTCCTTGGAGGGCCTTCAGGAGGATGGAAGTGGGGGAAAGGCCCAACTCAGCCTCTAACACAGCTACTGCACTGCAGTCTGCAGTGTATATTGTAAACTCTATAAGATTTCATTTGAGAAAGAATTATTTTGCCAAAGTAAGCTTGTAAGCAACTTTCTCATTCATTTGTAACGGATATTTTGATTGCTACCAGTGAATGTTAACATGTTCAAATTACATTTGAGAGCTAATGTTCAGGAAATGACTTAGAATTTTCAAGTTTGAATTTTAATAATTCAGTTCAATTTAAGTTTACAAGCACAAGGAAAGTATTAACTTACCAATTTATTAGTGTGGAAAGCACTCAGTTTCATATTTATTTTATCCTTAAAATTAGGACAATGAATTTAATAAGATAATTAAAACTGCTTTTTTTTGATAAGAAACAATAAATATTCATGAAAGGGCATTGGGTAATACAGAATAGAAGAAAGAAAAATTGTCAAACATATCTACTATGTGAAGTCTACCTTTGTCAGTATTTTTGTGCATGCTTTTTAGTTTTTAGGCAGAGATCTTTTATTTACATAGTTGTCAATAAAATTTGTATATACCTAAGACTGTGTGCTATTCTTTCCACAGATCATGTATGCAAGGCCTTTTTCATATCATGGAGGAAACTTGGAACATGGAATACTGAATGACTACATAAGATTCTATTAAGTGCTTATGTAACTACTTAACTAACAATTTCTTTTCTTGTTTCCATTTTTGTTTTACCATAATAAACAAAAGAGGGTTTATTTTCCAATGAAGTTAGATGTTCCCTGTGCAAATTCATGTGTTGAAGCCCTAACTCCATGACAGTTATATTTGAAGGAAGTTATTAAAGTTAAAGGAGGCCATTGGGCTGGAACTCTGACCCACAAGGATTCATGTCCTTTTAAGAGACCCCAGAGAGTGAGCTAACTCTCTCTCTCTCTCCATCCCACATCCCACAGCAAGAAGTGGTGGTGGTCTATAAACCAGGAAGAGAACCCTCACCAGGAACTGAATGGGCCAGCACCTTGATCTTGGACTCTTAGCCTCCAGAACGGTGACAGATTCCTGTTGTTGAATCCACCTAGTCTGTGGCATTTTGTTATGGCAGCCGGGGATGATGAGGACAATATCTTTGGGTGTGAGGCCCATGCTTTATTTTGCCAGCCCTCCATCTGCTCTATGCTTGGGCTCCACATCCCCAACTGATTCACTTAAAAACACTAGTTCAATAATAAAATAATTAAGAATATCAAGATAGTTATAGCAGAACATGGAAACAAGCGTGAGGCCTCATGAACGTGGACTCTGGGACTTCACGGGCCACTTGCCCATGAAGTCAGCCCTGACCCTGGACAGCTTTTGTGTTCCCGCTGTGAGCATCTGAACCTCCTTCCCCATTTGTCCCCACTTAGATCTTGGCATCTGACAGATATTCAATAAATGCTTTATGTTGTTCAATATCTGGTGACACATAACTGACTCTTAGCTCTGTGTTAAAGAGGGTTTAAAAGTCCTCTGATTAGGAACACATTCTTAGTGCATTTTTTTTTTTTTTGGATAATTTGATGCTTATTCAAAAATAACCTGAGAAACACAGAAATATAAATAAAGGTGGAAGGAATTTCCTATGCAAGGTTTTTCAAGGTTGTTCTTGCTTTTTTGTAAGCAGTGAAACCAACACTTCAAAGCAAACATTTGAAGAAGCCGTTTGTTTGTTTGTTTACGTGAGGGGGGCAGCACTGCTCTGATAGGGTCAGGAGTGGGCATCCCCTCCAGGGCACCCCCTGCTCTTGACCTCTGCCTGAAACATAATGTGAAAACCCAAAGATCAACACAAACTTCTCATTCAAAATGTTTGTTCCCCTCCCAGAAGACCTTCAAAGTGACAAAATTCCAAGTTAAAGCACCATCAACAACAAAAGCTTTGGCTTAGAGTTGTAAACAATGCTAGGACATGTCAGATTATGTTAACATGAAATGCTGGCCAAAACCTGATAAGAATTGAGGAAGTAACAATTTATGGCTCTCAGCTCTAAAAGGACTTCTGTGTCCACCTCTGGTGGTCTCTTCACAGGAGAGAATGAAAGAGGAGAGGTCTTGGTGCTGGAGTTTCCTGGGTGGAATGGGTCGTATACCTCTCTGCTGGCCTTCCCTTGCTCTAAGTCCCCTGGCTCACTCTACAGCTCCAGCATTATCATCACTCCTCTTTTAAAAGGAGATGAGATCAGTTTCCATGCATTCATAACTGCAAACCATGTAATTACCTCCAGGCACCTGGCATTATACTGCATCCTGTGGTTTTTGATGTATTGCATTTTATATCATATTCTGTTGTTTTAAAAACTTTCCTTATTCATTCTACCAGGTGCAGCAATCTCCTAGATATCAGAGGATACAAAAGGGCAATAAGCATTACCTTCCAATAAGACGCAATGTAGCCAAAGTTCCAAATCATTACAAAATCATGTGTGTTCCAGTAATGGTTTCAAATGTTCATAGCATATAAAAAACTAATTTTATTTTAGTAACCCAGTTTAAAATTTTGTCTGGTGAATATTATGTATAGATCATTAAAAAGCATTACTTTAGGACTTTGGAATGTAATTAAACATATTCTTTTTGATTTTTTATCCATTTTAACATTTTTAGGGAAAGTAATTTGGTGTATAAAATGCTATCAAACTAAAATTAACTCAGAAAGTGTGCTATGAATTTTCATGTTAAGTATAAGTAAGTTATGATTTAGACAGTGAAAGAGAATTCAGTAACTAATAGATTATAGAAGGGCAATCAGAGTTTAAAACCTTAGCTTAAAAATCCTACATGAGAAAAATTGTAACAATTCCTCCTTTTAAAAAAGACAAAATTTTCCTCCCTCCACCTCCCCATACTCTATTCTTTTTCTTAGAATTCATATGCTAAGTTTACTAGGTTCCGCTTTTTCAGTATCATTATTTACAACACTGTCACTGTTTCCATAGATATGCAGAATGTCTGTTTCCATAGCAACACTCTGGGTTTCCTAAACAAATAGTATCATAGTGTTAATCTTGTTTCAGTGTTATTGTACTATGTTATTAGATACAAAATTCAAAAAATAATTTAAGCAGGGTTTGAAACTAGGTGGGTTGATTTTATTGCTTGGTGCTTTAGATATTAAATTTCAATTTCATATTAAAATATATATACATTTGAAAAATAGCAGGGATTTTTGCATAGTAAACATGATACCAATTTTATTTGCTAGTTATAAAACACTATAATTTAATAATAATTTAATGTTCCAATACATGAGCAATATACACAGAGAGGTTTACCATCTTCAGATTAAAATGACTTTTTCAGTTGGCCTGGAAGATTTAGCCTCCCCAAATCTCCAAAGTCATTTATTACCTACCTACAGTGGTAGTTCCTTTTGCCATTTTTTTCCATTGTAAGTAATTTCTACCATTTTTACCTTTTATTTTATACCCCACAGGAATAGTTATGAAATAGACTTCAAGGAATCTTTAGTATTTCCTTTTCTCCTAGATGGAAACAAGAGAGAAAAGTAAATCTACTGGATTTTTGTTTTCGTCTTTAAATTTGTTCATCATTATCTTTCATTCTTACAAAAAGAGCACATTTTTGAGAACTCTTTCTGAAATGGAATTGAGCTTCAGCCTCAGCTCTCAAAATGGGTCTGGTATAACTTTTAGCTAATTGAATTGATTGCATTATCCTACACATCAGCTCACACGGGCAAGATGATTGGCAACGCAAGGGGTGGGAATGTGGAATCCTGTGTTTTGGAAAAGTAAAGGAGCTTTATCCATGCTGTGACTTTTTTTTTTTTTTTTTTTGCAAGATGTTAAAAGAAGACCCAATCATGTCTGCAGATCTGATTCTTTATATCCACACTCTGACCCATTTAACTAGCCATTTCAGAACCCTGATTTTCACTTTCCTTTTGAATAAGCTTGACTTCAAGGTTTTCCCCTCCCAATTTTAGCACTAGAGAGGTATGCAGATCTAAGGTAATAATTTGCATGTAGAATAGTTGTACAGCTTTGGGGAGAAGGTCAAGGATAAATGGAAGTAAATGTCTAAGTTCAAAACCAGCATGCACAAGACCCGAGATTGGGGAGATAATAGTAACATGAGTCTCAGCTCAGTTGTTTGCTAGTTTGATCATTTGAAGCCCTTGATTCTACTTCCCTGAACCTCGGTTTCCTCATCTATAAAATAAGGAAACTAACACTTATTGTCCAGTGTTGATGGAGGATTAGAGACAATAATTGATTAATGAAAAGTAACATTGACCAGTGTTACTGAAAGTGTAGCTCTTGTTACACTTTCCTGATTTTTCTTCTTTTCTTCACCAATTTGATCTTTGGGGTCAGAAAAAGACTGATCCCTCTGTAATGGTACATGAAGCCATATCAATCAGGTACAGCTTCTGGCCATGGAGCTTCTTCAGTTTTCTGCCCCACCCCCTGCATGCCTCCTGGATTTTTTGCAGCAGACAGCTTTAATGATTTTGGTTCAGAAGAAGTAAGCACTCAGAGTTCCCAGTAACAACAGTCAGTGTGGGTTCCCTGAATGGTCAGCCAAGTTGAAATAGGGAAAGTCCCAGAGAAAAAGAATCCTTTTCCCAATCTCAATCCTAGTAGTACAACCTAACCCAGTGTTTCTCAACCTTCAATGTGGGTAGTAATCATCTGGGGACCTTTCTGAGAGCCAGATTTTGGCTCAGCAGGTCTGGGTGGGGACTGAGTTTCTGTGTGGCTGATAATCTCTCTGGCTATGCCAGAGTTACTGGTCCAGGCTCACCTTGAATGAGAAGGATCAGAACTCCCCAAATCACCTCAGATTTTCTCAAATTTGTTAAGATTCTAGCCTTTCCTCTTAACAGTGGATCCCCATACTACTTGGGCCTGGGTATATTTGGGGTCCTTGCTCTAGTAGTGGCTCCAAACTTTCTAATCTTATTGAACTTGGCTTTCTTATAAGATGAAGAAATTGGGCTAGTTTGAATCTCTTGTGTACTTTTCAATGATCAAATGTGGCACACTTTCCTCTTTTGGACATAGGACAAATCAGGGAAGATAAAAAATTCCATCAATTCGCATAGTCATTAACCAAATTCTGTTCAGCAAATTTGAGTTGTCTATGAGCTTTAGGATCAAAATGGTTCAGTTACATGAGGAAAAAAATATAACACAATTAGAATTGATTATCAATACAGGCTAATGCTCAAATTGGAAAGTCAGTGACTGACCTATGAATGAGTTTAGAAGCTGCCCGTATGATGTTAACAAAACTTAGAATGTAATTAATATTTTTGAATTCTCCAAGTACGTGTGGTTTCATTTCTTATTGTTGTGTTAATGTCTAAAAACTCAAGTCAAGTTCCCTTGTATGTTTAGTTACCCTGTGGGAACTTAACTAATTATTATAATGGCAATATTTCTTGCTTGCAAACATTTAAATGGCAACTGACTCTTTTCTGAGATCATATTTTTAAAGGAGATTGTGTTTGAAAGCGCTAAAAGATTAGGGATTTCTAGGGGATTTTGTCTTCTGAATTTTCCTTGTTTATGACCTCATTGTCTAGAGGATCATATAATATTCTAAGAATGAAGGTGAATGTGGTTTCTAATAACTACATGGAAAAATGAATTACTTTCATTTTTATTCTTATGCTGAACGTCTTTACTCAACTGGCATTAACTTCATAATAAATCATAATGAGTCTATTTGTTCTTCTCAAAAACAACAGGAAAGTCGTAACAAAATCAATTCCCTTTGGAAAAGGAGGCAGCAAGTTTTCTAGCAGTGTCTCGGATGGTATGGAAGATGCTTCAGGCTGGCAATGAAAGTCTTAGATCAACATCTCATGAAACATCACATCACTCCGGGGAAAGGGTCCCCTAAGCTAGTGACCACAAAGCACTTAGAACATACCCAGAACATACCAAGTGTGCAGTAAATATCAGGTATATTTTTCCTGACATTGATGTGGGTGCTTCTGAGCAGTCACACTGTGGTAGCATTGGTGTCTCTCCAGCTCTATGGATATGTGTATTTATACTAAGAGAACTTTCATAGATAATAGCTTTTGTAGTTTTATAAAAACTTGGCACAGTAGAGTGGAAGGAAATAGTGCAAATAGTCTTGGAAATATTATAAACTCAATGTCCTATTCAGATGGATTGTAATTCTCAATGTTCTCTATTTGTTGAATATTGTATAGAAGATTAGGATTTATAAAGAAGCTATTCTACAAATAAAAGAACAAAGCATGTCACTGGAGAAAAAATATCTGTGTCCACAATATACACATCCAAATAATGTAGACTCTTCTCCAAGAAATGTCTATGTGTTTTTCTCTGAGTCATATTGTTTAAAAACTAATATTACCCAGTAGTATCATTGGCAGTGTAATAGCACTAAGAACAAACAAAAATGGGAAACTTAGCAAATAATTGGTTTGGTGATCAATATATCATTCCA